TCTAACTTGCCGTGGACCGGCTGTTAGCGACTCCCAGTACACCCACACACCCCGGGAGGGCCGGGCCCCCGTGGATACTTCGGACAGCTTCCTGCTCTTTTCTGGCCTCAGTTTCCACGTCTCTCCACCTTGAAGCGGCTGGCCTTTGAGAAGCCAACTCCCCCCCCCACCCCCACCCCCACCCACGGATTGGCCCCCTATTCCAGGGGCCCTAACCAAGATAGGGTCCCGCTGCCCATCGGTCGGGGTGGTGTCGCCCAGCAGGGAGGGGGCTGGTGCACGCGACTGGCCTCCAGGATGCGAGACAGCGCGGCCGGCCGACGCCGCAGCCTGGGTGCCTCCTAGGCGAACGCCGAGCGGGCCGCCCCCGAGCGCGCCTCGGCCACCCCCGCGTCCGGACGCGCGCCCGGCCTCCCTTCAACCACATGTGTCTCCGCTGCGGCCCCTATTGGCCGCTCCTAGTACACGGTCCCCGCCTGGGGCCTCAGACCTGGTCTTTGCTGTCTTTACCACCATTGAGTAAACGCCCACCATGTGCTAGTGCCTGACTCCTCTGTGGGTAAATGTAAGGATTCCTGGCCCCCGAGGCTGCTGGTGACCAGTCTTGCCTGAATGTATAGAGCAGGGGTCCTCAAACTACGGCCCGCGGGCCACATGCAAATACAAATATTGTATTTGTTCCCGTTTTGTTTTTTTACTTCAAAATAAGATATGTGCAGTGTGCATAGGAATTTGTTCATAGTTTTTTTTTAAACTATAGTCCGGCCCTCCAACGGTCTGAGGGACAGTGAACTGGCCCCCTGTTTAAAAAGTTTGAGGACCCCTGGTATAGAGCTGTGCCGCCTGCCTCCCAGACATGCCCTTCCCAGGCTGGGCGGCTGGCCAGGGTCCCCTCCAACTCCCCCTCACACCCCTCTCCTGGCGCTTACTGCGGATGTTGGTTGAATCCCGGGAAGCTCCCAGCCACTCCGCTTTTTCTGCTCTGTGGCCCGGGGCAAGCTAATTCCCTTCTGTGTCTTGTTTCTTTATCTGTGAAATGGATGTTGTGACCATTAGCAGGTAGGATTCCAAGGCTCGTGAAGGGAGGTAGCACTTGTACCAGGACACCCGGAGCCCTGCTTACTCCAGGGCCAGGCGGGGCGCCCCGAGTGCCAGCAATGCCCTGTGGTCAGCGTCGAGTGCCGAACAGCTGCCACCACGAGTCCCCAGAGTGAGAGAAGTCGGTGTAGGATGTTGGATCTGAACCTAGAGCTACCCTGGCCCAGCGTCTGGGGTTTGACTACTACACCTTCCCCTCTTACAGGCTCCCGAGAGGGGCCCGCCTCAGTGCTGGTCTTGTTTTCCACGTGGGAAAAACAGGTCCCCGGTCTCAGTGTCCTGCCCTTGGCCCCACAGCATGGCAGGGTCTCTCTACTGCAGTGGCAGGAGGTGCCCAGAGGCACTTGGGAGGTGGGATCATCACCAGATCGGGGCACAAGCTGGTCTCCCAAGTAAGTCCCAGTGGCCATGGGGGTTTGGCGGGAGCCCCTTTGGCTGAGAGGAGCAGCTGCTTCAAGAAGCCAGGAAGGCCCTAGCCCGATTGGCTCAGTGGATAGAGCGTCGGCCTGCGGGACTGAAGGGTCACAGGTTCGATTCTGGCCAAGGGCACATGCCTGGGTTGCGGGCTCGATCCCCAGTAGGGGGCGTGCAGGAGGCAGCTGATCAATGATTCTCTCTCATCATTGATGTTTCTCTCTCTCTCTCTCCCTCTTCCTTCCTCTCTGAAATCAATAAAAATATATTTAAAAAGGAAAAAAAGAAGCCAGGAAGCTGGGGGCTAGGAGAGAAGTGTGTGTGGCCACATAGCAGACACAGTAAGCCCTCCACATGACATTTCAGAATGATCCCCCCACCCCAGTTTCTTCTACCAGACATTCATCCCTCGTCTGCAAAGCAGGCAACCCTGGTCTGTGCCATGTACCTGCCCTGTGACCTGGGCCAAGCCCCTTCCCTCGAACCTCGGCTCTCCCTGTGAGGTGGGCTGACCCTCCAGCCCGCGGGGCCGTTGGAGAATCAGATGACATCACGTAATGGTTGGCCAACGGCAGCGCGCCTCACAACCACAGCAAACATTCCACGCGGACTTCTTGGTGCCAGGGGTGCCAGGGAAAGGGATGATTCAGAACAACCACCCCCCCCAGGGGAGGAGTTAGGGTTGGGGGAGGATCAGATGGTGGGAAGGAAAGAGAATGTAGTCAGAAAACAAAGCAAGCTTTGTTTTATTGCCGCCTTTGTTTTTATCTTGTTATTTAACCTATTTTGAATTTCAAATAACATTCAAAGGGCAGTATTGAGATTTTTATGCTTGGAGGTGGCAGCAAAGTTATAAAAAAAAAAAAAGTTGAGGCTCGGATCTAGGTGTTCTTGTTAAAGACTATTATCAGCGTTTGCCAGCTGAAGTCCCAGGCACCTGGAGGTAAGTGACTTGCCCAAGGTCGCATGGTGAGGCCACGGAACCCCCCACCCACCCTCACTCGGAAGGGAGCAAGGGGTGATCTTTCAGCATGAAGGTTATCCTGTGGCACAAAGATCTCCTGATGAAACCGGTATTGGTTTAGCACTTGCCACGTGCAGAGACCAAGGTGGGTGCTGGGAAGGAGGAAGGCAGGAAAATCCAGACAGGTGCCCCACCCTCCGCGTGCGCTGCCAATCTGGGGAGAGACAAGACTGGGCTCCGGGAGCCCGTCAAAGGCTCTGTGAGTCAGAGGCTCCGAGTTCAAGTCTCGACTGGCTCTCTTCATGTGACCTTGAGCAAGCTTGGCCTTCTCTGAGCCACAGGAAGACGGAGGTCAAACCAGAGGCCCATAGGTGTCCTTCAGCCGGCACTTTCTAAGATACTAGAAGGGATAGAGTTCAGACAAGATTGGGGCTGTGGTGCCATCAGGAGGGGAGGCAGTGGGCAAGGGATAATAGCTTTTGGTGCCAGCTGAGCCTTTTCTAAACTCGTTCCCTGATGACAAGGCTCCTACATCACTGTGACAAACTATGACAAAGTCCTTTCCTGCCAGCCTTCCCAGAGCCTGGGAGGCAGGAGACATCTGGAAAAAGCCACTTTTGACCACAGGATCCTTTTCTCAGGAAGCACCTTGAAGGCGGAGGGTCCTTCGGAACCTCTGCGTGGGCTGTTTACACAGCCATTCACAAAGGCTTTGGCGGGCACCCCTCCCTCCTGGCCACTCGGACTGGCAGACAATTTAACCTACAGAGAAGGGGGGGACTTGCTCAACCCGCCCACAGGAGGCAGTGTAGCTTGGGGTTCAGGGGATCTGGATTGAGGGGATCCTGCTTCACCATTTCCTCCTGTGTAGCCTCAGGCAAGTCCCTTCACTTCTTTGGCTTCGTTTCTCCCCTCTAATATCGTGCTCCCTGGGGGCTGTTGTGTGAGTTAAATGAGTGATGAACATGTCATGGGCACTTAGTAGGTGCTTCATCAATGGGCCCTGTGTAATGACCACACACAGTGGAGGTGTACAGCCCTGTGAGTTTTTGTGCTCCCAGTCAACACCTGCTCAAAGGCAACCCCAACTCTGATGTCTGCCCCAGGTGTCCAGTTTTGCCTGCTCTTCCGTTTCCTGTCCATGGACTCACACCGTGTGTCCTCCTCTGTGAGGGTCAGCACTTTGTGGGTGCTCCCCACCCCTGTTGTCCTGTTGTCGGCTGTCAGCGTGTTCTCTTTGGCGGTTCTTATTTGGCCCCAGGGACCCCAGGCCTCCCATCACCTTTCTGTCTTTCTCTCAGGTCTCCAGCTGGGCGGAAGAGGGGCTGTCCACAAGGCGTGCCTACCCTGACCTTGGACAGAACATCAACAGCTGATTCCACGGGGCCAGGAGCCAGGCCTCAGGGAGAGACCGGCCATGGGCCCCCCACAGCCTCAGCATTTGGGGGCAGCACCTTAGGAAAACACGAGCAGCCTCCGTCCACCCTTTACACCGAGAAGAAGGGAACTGCCACGGACCCACCGCCTGTCCCGGGCCCCAGCTGGGCATGGACCAGCACCTGTGACCTGCCAGAGCTGATGCCGGGCCCCCAGGGGGCCAGAGGAGGCCCCACCATGAGCCTGGGCAAGCTCTCACCCGTGGGCTGGGTGTCCAGCTCGCACGGGAAGAGGCGGCTGACTGCAGACATGATCAGCCCCCCACTCGGGGACTTCCGGCACACCATGCACGTGGGCCGAGGCGGGGACGTCTTTGGCGACACCTCCTTCCTCAGCAACCACGGGGGCGGCTCCGGGGGCACCCACCGTTCACCCCGCAGCTTCCTGGCGAAGAAGCTGCAGCAGGTGCGCCGGGTGGGCGCCCTGCCCCGGCGGATAGCTTCCCCGCCGTCGGCCTCGCCTGCTCCGCCCGCCGTCTCCCCCATCATCAAGAACGCCATCTCCCTGCCCCAGCTCAACCAGGCCGCCTACGACAGCCTCGACAGCCTCGTGGTGAGCAAGCTCAGCTTCAACAGCAGCCCCGCCGGCTCCGCGGACGGCCACTCCAGTTACGGTGAGCGCCTGGGTGATTTGCCCGTTTTTCCGACGCCGAGGCCCAGAGGGTTGAATGGTTCAATCAAGCCTCCAAGTGAGCTCTTTTCCCCATCGCAGTGTGGTCTCACCATGGAGGTCAGGCCCAAACCCCAGACCGTGGAGGGGGAGGGGTCAGAGGGTGGGAACCAGCCCTCTCCCCAAAATACACAGACAAATCCGGACAACCACTCACATGGACAGACGCCAGAGGCCCTTCCTGCTTGGTGGGGAGGGAGAGGCAGATGCTGTCTTGGTGCCACTGGGCAGCTCACCTGGGAACCAGGGTTCTGGTTCCTGCTGCCACCTAGTGGCCGTTCCCTGCCCCGCAGCCTTGCCCCACCACCAGCGGTTGCCTCCAGGGCTCCCGCTGTGGGTCTCTGCTCAGAACCCCACTGAGGGCTGGAGCCAGGGGCTGGACTTCCCGCGGCATCCGTTGAGTCTGTGACTTCTAGGCAGTCAGACCCTGGCTGCCCACATTCTGTGGGCCCACCTTCAGCATCAGCCACACGCCAGGAGAGCAGGGGCACGGCCGAGGTCACCATGGGAACTGAGACTGAGGGAGATCTGAGCTTCAGGCTGGGTTCTGCCGCCTCTGACTGTGGCCCCGGGCAAGCCCTTCCCCTCTGAGCCTCACTCTCTTCACCTGCAAAATGGGAATGAGGATCGTGTCCGTTGTCAGCTTCCAGGATCACATAAGAGACTACTGGGTTCCCTGTATTGGAAAGATGGGAGGAAGTGAGTCCAGAGCGGGGAGACTTTCTAGAGAGGGTGCATAGCAAGCAGGGTGGCTCCTGGCTCTCCCCTCCCCGGGTGCTGGTCAGGGACCCCAGCCCTGACCCCGCTTCCCATTTCCCTTCTAGGTCTGGACTCTGGGTTCTGCACCATCTCCCGCGTGGCTCGCCCGGAAAAGCCTCGTGACCGAGACCATGACAGTGCCTTCCCCTCCGAACCTGAGCTTCGCCGCTCTGACTCCCTCCAGTCCTTCCGCCTGGACCTCGACCTTGGGCCGTCTCTCCTCAGTGAGCTGCTGGGGGTCATGAGCCTCTCAGAAGGCTCTGCAGCCGAGACTCCAGCCCCAGCCCCTGCCTCAAGCCCCCCAGCCCCTGCTGCCAACCCCCCAGCCCCTGCCTCAAGCCCCCCAGCCCCTGCCTCAAGCCCCCCAGCCTCAAGCCCTCCACCCCGTGGACGCTGCCCCAATGGGGTAACTGCTGGGTTTGGCCCAGTGGCGGAGGCGAGGGCCAGCCCCGTGGGGGAGTGTCCCCGTGCACCTGCTGACATGGCCCCTGGCAGGCACTGGGGAGCCGGCTGGAGTGGCAGCCGGGGCAGCCGCCACTACACTGAGATGGATGCTCGGCAGGAGCTGGTGAAGGTGCTGCCCCAGGGGCGGGCCTCTTGGGAGAGCCTGGATGAAGAGTGGGGGGCACCCCAGGCAGGCAGCCGGGCCCCTGTGCCCAGCACGGTGCAAGCCAACACCTTCGAGTTCGCCGATGCTGAGGAGGACGATGAGGTCAAGGTGTGAGCAGCTGAGCGTGGGTTCGGGACTCCGCCCAGCCTCCGGCCACTCACTGCCCTGAAGAGCCCAGGTGCAGAGCTCGCCCTCACCTGTCACCTGGGTCCTGCTGATGATGGATGGAGAACCCACACTGCCCCCAAACCCTCCACGCCTCTGCTGGACAGACATGGGAGGGAGGCCAGTTCTGGGACCTGGGTGTTCCCGAGGACCCTGCCGGGCTGACCTGCTTCCCCCCACTGCCGCTCTGGACCCGGTGGCCCTGCCTCCGGCCCCGCCCCCACCGGCTGGAGGGCCAGCCTCACAGAGCCGCCTTTGTGTGGGGAAGCTGTCCTTGCTGGTGGGGGGTCGGGAGCATACCACACAGGGCCTCTGTCTCCTCCCAAAGGGGCCGCCTGCCCAGCTCATCCTGGAGCTTCCCCAACGTGCCCACCCCAAACCCCCCTTGTCCCAGGAGCCTCGAGGTAAAATCAGGTGTGACCCCACCTTCTTGTGCACCCCAGACCTGCCTCCGGGTCCCGATTAAAAAGGCTTTTTGAGACGCGGTGTCCTGCGCGATGTTTGGGACCTGGGAGTACGGTGTCGGCTCCACCTGCTTCCATGCCCTCAGCATTGGGTTTGGAAGCCAAAGACCCCTCAGGGCCCCCAGCGCACGCAGGGGCCGAGAGGGTAATGAGTAACCAGGCTGGAAGGAATGTTCCCGAGATAAGAGGCCCAGGTGGGAGCCCTTATCTGCAGTTCCGGGAACAGCCCCTGGCCCAGGTGCCTGGATCAGTCCCTGCCTCTAATCCCACGGGGCAGCTTGGCACTTGCCCTGGTGATAACGGGGGGGGGGGGGCAGGCGGGAGTGGGTGCTCAGAGGTGTTCGGAAGGGTGTCCCAACTCCGGCGTGGCAGTCCTATGCCCTTGTGCCTCAGTTTCCTCCTCTGTATCATGAAAATGCATGGGGAACACTAACCAGTTTCTGCCACAGAAAGACGGGATAAAGGTGGATTCTTTTTTTCTTTCTTTTTTTTGATTTTTTTTTTTTTTTTAGAGAGAGGAAGGGAGAGGGAGAGAAACATCCAATCGGCTGCCTCTTGCACGCCCCCTATGGGGGATTGAGCCTGCAACTGGGCATGTGCCCTGAACCAGTGACCGCCTGGGTCATACCACTGAGCCACACCAGCTGGACAAAGGTGGATTCTTAAATTGGCCTTAGCCTTGGGGGAGGAGAGGGGTCAGAGGGCAGGGAGTGCAGGCGGGGAGCCAGGACCCAGGGGCTGCTGGGCCCGTGTGACTGGGAAGGAGCTCAGGAGAGGAAGTCGGTGCGAGGGCCCTGTTGTTCCCGTGAGCGCCGCCCACGCAGTCAGGCTTGGAGGAGGAGATGTTGAACCCACCCAGCACTCAGGGAGCTCAGGTGGCTGTGGCCCAGCCTGTCGGGAAAGGCCAACTGGTGCCTGTCTGGCAGCTTCACCTTGAATCTGTCACTCTCGAAGGTCACGGTGAACTGCAGGGGAGGACAGGTGTCAGGGAGGCAGGAGGAACCCTGGGAATGGGCCAAGACAGGGCCCGGTGGCTCAAGCACGGTCTAGCCCAGGGCTCCCTACCATCTGGGCTCTCCCTTTGGCATTGTCCTCAGGCCCCTTTCCCCTTTGACCTCACCTTGACCTCTGACCCTGGGCTGAAGCACAAGTGATCTTCCCATTGCTCCTGCCCCCAGTTGTTGCCCTCCAATGAGTTGCAGACAATGGTGGGTTGAAATGCAGGTCCAGCTTCTCTGTCTCCTGGGGCAGATTAATCATAAAGCTGCAGGAGATGGGGGGCGGGGGGGGGCGGTGCGCAGAGGGAGACGGGTAAAGATTAGAGGCCAGCCCTAACTGGTTTGGCTCAGTGGATAGAGCATCGGCCTGCAGACTCAAGGGTCCCAGGTTCGATTCCGGTCAAGGGCATGTACCTTGGTTGCGGGCACATATCGAGTAGGGGGTGTGCAGGAGGCAGCTGACCGATGTTTCTCTCTCATCGATGTTTCTAACTCTCTAACCCTCTCCCTTCCTCTCTGTAAAAAATCAATAAAATATATTTATAAAAAAAAAAAAAGATTAGGGGCCAGCCCTGGATAACACAGCTTGCGTTGCAGGATCTTAGTAAACCACAAGCTGGAAGAGTCACCGAAGAAAGTTGTTTATTGAGGTCTGTGCCTTAAAACAAGGGAGGTGACACCTCGGTCCGACTGGGCACAGGACTACGGTACGGACGGGTAACTGGCAGGAACGGTGTCAGCAGCTGAGAGTGTCCGTCGTGGGGGAGAGAATTGTCCTTGCTACTGAAGACCCATCAAGTTTGACCATAGACAGTTGTCAACCAAGGCGGGAGCTCCCTGTCCCTAGAAGTATGCGATCAGGGTTGTGTGACTCCTGGGGGCAGTCACTACAGAAGCCTGGGTTACACCTTCAGAGTCCCTGGGGGTGGGAGGTCTCAGGCCAGCGGTATCCCACTTTCCTGCACCTGGAGGGACCCAAGTAGGAGAAAGGGGTGCGTTTTCTCTTGGCTCCTTCCCTGTGCACCTGCCTGTCCCCTCCCCAACCAAAAGGTGATGGTGGTCAGTTCCAAGAAATGCTGACGTTGTTCTACACACACAGGAGCCTCGTGCTGAGCTGTAACCGTCCAGGTGGATAAACATCTGCTTGTAATGGAGAGGATGTGAACGCAGCCACTTGGCGCCCCCTGGTGGCTGCCTCTGGTTTAACGTGGCGAAAGGCTGGCCTGCCCCTCAGCTGGGTAAAGAGAGTGGGTCCTGGGGTTTAGCTTTCAGTAGAGGCACCTGGCCCACAGGGGCAGCGCATCCACCTTCAAGCTGGTTGGGAGAATTCGAGACCATGTGCGTGAAGCCGCACGCATAGCCAGGGCCTGGCACAGACTCAGCAAACTGAGGGGCGACCTTCATTATGGTTACTTCCTGTGAGCCAGGCTCAGGGGGTGCAGCTGCACAGTAGGGATGCTGTGGGATTGTACAGGCCCAGCATCCCTGTCTCCCCTCAACAAAGTCTGAGGCCCGGAGAGAGACTGGGAGGCAAAGCTGGGGTGGGGTGTGGGTGGTCCAGGTCTAGTGCCCGCTTTGTCCCTAACTGGCTGAGTGACCTGAGGCCAGCTGTGCCCCTTTCTGGTCCTCGGTTGCCCCATCCTATATAATGAAAAGGTAATATGCAAATTAACCCTCACGCCCTCACAAGATGGCTGCCTACGACCAGGCTGGCAGGGAGGTTAGTGAGGGACGACCAAACGACTGAACAGCAGGCTGCGTGGGGCGACCAGGCCAGCGGGCGGGGGGGGGGGGCAGTTAGGGGCAACCAGGCAGGCAGGTGAGCGATTAGGAACCAGTGGTCCAGGATTGTGAGAGGGATGTCTGACTGCCGGCAGTCGGACATCCCCCAAGGGGTCCCGATTGGAGAGGATGCAGGCTGGGCTGAGGGGACCCCCGCCCCCTGCACGAATTTCGTGCACCAGGCCTCTATTCTATAAAAGAGACTTGGCCTAGATCAGGGGTGGGCAAACTTTTTGACTCAAGGGCCACAATGGGTTCTTAAACTGGACCGGAGGGCCGGAACAAAAGCATGGATGGAGTGTTTGTGTGAACTAATATAAATTCAAAGTAAACATCATTACATAAAAGGGTACGGTCTTTTTTTTTTTTTTTTAGTTTTATTCATTTCAAACGGGCCGAATCCGGCCCTCGGGCCGTAGTTTGCCCACGACTGGCCTAGATGGTCTTTGGAGAGGGAGGAAAGAGAGGGGACGGATGAGATGAGCAGGAGAAGAAGAAAGTCGGGAAAGTGTCTGGGCCCAAAGGTCCTACCTGAGAGGCAGAGAGCATCCCTCCCGTCCTGGAACCTCCATCACACCACACTCTCATCCCACCTGTACTGGCTTGAATGGGTTTCCCAAAAATCAGGTCCAGGTGGGCCCTGTGAATGGAGCCTATTTGGAAATTGGGTCTTTGCTGATGTAAGCAGGTTAAGATCAAGTGTGATTGGCTAGGCTGGGCCCTAAATCCAATAGGACTGTTGACCTTATAAAAGGAGGGAAATTTGGAGCCAGAAACACAGGCGGAGGAGAAAGCCACGTGAAGACGGAGGCAGAGACTGAGAGCTTAGCCACAAGCCAAGGACGCCCCCACCAGAAGCTGGAAGAGATCAGAAAGGGTCCCCCTCTAGAGACCTCAGGGCGAGTGCGGCCCTGCCCACACCTCCACGTCAGATCTCCGGCCTCCAAAACTGTAAAAGAAGACATTTGTTATGGCCGACACGGAAACTGACACACCACCCAGTGCTCAGAAGGGGTGGTCTGCGATCCAAGTCCCCAAACACAGGGTTCTGCAGCTCAGAGAGGGCAGTGACTCATCCAAGGCCACACCGCAAGCTAAGGCACCGCCAGGTTTGAAATCAAAGGATCAGGAGCCTCACTGTTCCTCCACTCACCCCTGCGATTGACAGATTATAACCTTGGACAATGTAATCTCCAAGCCTCCGTTTCTTCATCTTTATAAAGCTCAATAGGTGTTAGCAGTTATTATTGTCACTGCTATTAATATGACTGATGAGCAGCCCTAGCCGGGTAGCTCAGTTGGTTAGAGCATCGTCCTGATATGCCAAGGTTGCCGGTTCGGTCCCCTGTCAGGGCACAAAAAAGGAGCAACCAATGAATGCATAAATGAATAAATAAGTGGAACAACAAATCTCTCTCTCTCTCTCTCTCTCTCTCTCTCTCTCTTTCTCTTTCTCTCTCTCTCCCTACCCCCAAATAAATAAATAAAATTTAAAAAAATAAAATGAAAAAATGTATTACTCGCTCTAGCTGGTTTGGCTCAGTGGATAGAGCGTTGCCTGCTGACTGAAGGGTCCCAGGTTTGATTCCGGTCAAGGGCACATGCCCGGGTTGCAGGCTTGGTCCCCAGTAGGGGCAGCCAATCAATGATTCTCTCTCATCATTGATGTTTCTATCTCTCTCTCCCTCTCCCTTCTGCTCTGAAATCAATAAAAATATATTTTAAAAAGAAATGTATTACTGCCAAAACCGGTTTGGCTCAGTGGATGGAGCGTCGGCCTGCGGACTGAAGGGTCCCAGGTTCGATTCCGGTCAGGGGCATGTACCTGGGTTGTGGGCACATCCCCAGTGGGAGATGTGCAGGAGGCAGCTGATCGATATTTCTGTCTCTCTATCTCTCTCTCTTCCTCTCTGTAAAAAATCAATAAAATATATTTTTTTTTAAAAAAGAAATGTATTACTGATAAGCACACTAAGGCTGGAGAGGGGAAGAGACAGGCTGAGCGCGGTGGTGGAGGAAGCAGGGAGCCTGGGTGCTGAAGGGCTAGGAGACCATCTGCCCAACTTCCTCACTATCTGGACGGGGCAACTGAGGCCTGGAGAGAGACAGTGAGACTTTCCCCTCGCAACCCCCTCCCCATCCCCATTCAGGTGAAGGCATGGATGGCGGAGAAGCCAGCATCCTCACCGACATGGCAGCGGCTCCCAAAGGCCGCTCGCAGTGCCTGGAGGCCTGGGCTCAGGGTCTCACCTCCCGGTCCAGCTTATCTCCTGGAATATTACACATTAACTCCCCCAAGGCCATAAATGGGGACTTCGGTCCCCTCTTCCCAGGTCCCCAGAACAAGCAGCCAGAAGGCTCCTCACCGGGCCCAGCACCCCCCAGCCCAGCCTCCTGCCTCGTCCAGGAGCCGAGGATGCGGGACAGAGCGGGACTGGGTGTCAGGAGCCAGTCACACACGCTGTGAGCTTGGCAGGCCCCCCCGAGTCCCTGAGCCCTGAGTCCTCGTCCTCACACAGAGCTACAGAGCTACTCGCTTTGTAAGATACTCTATGTTGCTCGTTTTCTATGACGTCAAAATTCACTTTAAAGTCTTTTGTTCTGTTTTCTCCCCTTACCCCATGACTTTTCTAATTGTACATGGAAGTTTTTTAAAATGTTTTTATTGATTCTGTTAGAGAGAGGAAGGGGGGGGGAGAGAGAGAAACATCAATAGGCTCCCTCCTGCACCCCCCTACTGGGGATCAAGCCCACAACCCGGGCATGTGCCCTGACCAGGAATAGAACCAGCAGCCTCCTGGTGCATAGGACGACACTCCACCACCAGAGCCACACCGGCCGGGGCTGCACATGTAAGTTTTACAAGCAATGCCCAGTGGCCCTGGCCAGTGTGGCTCAGTGGATAGAGCGTCAGCCTGCAGACTGACGGGTCTTGGGTTCGATTCCGGTTAAGAGCACATGCCCAGGTTGCGAGCTCAATCCCCAGTAGGAGGGCGTGCAGGGAGCAGCCAATCAATGATTCTCTCATCATTGATGTTTCTATCTCTCTCTCCCTCTCCCTTCCTCTCTGAAATCAATAAAAATATATTTAAAAATAAATAAAATAAAAGCAATACCCAGTGGATGTAAACACACACACACACACACACACACACACACACCTAGAAATATCTACAACAAAGTGTTAAAAAGTGGAGAAGGGAGTGAGAGGGCTGAGGCTGGGGTTGCCAGGGCTTTACGTGCTTGGCTCTCTACTTCTATTCCTGTTTTTTTTAACTTCTATTGCTTATCGACATGCTCACCACAGGCAGTAAGAGCCATTAATTAAGAAGAAAAACAGCGCTGATCACCCCACCGTCAGGAAAAACCTGCTTACGCTGCTGGCATTGGTGGTTTTCTGTAGATTGATATCCTGGACCCCCCTGTAGCTGAGCCTCCTTCATTCAGCAAACGTGAACGCCCACAAATCTATATTTCAGAGCTATATGTTCACGGCACCTTCCAAGGCCTTGACTTATTCAACCCGTTTCCTTCTGCTCAATACCTACATTAATCCTAAATGTCTGCTATTAAATCAGCTGCTGCATTAAATCTATTTGCACAGAAAGGTTGGCTGCATCGTGACAACTTATTCAGGGCGGGTTCCCACTCGAGAGCCGTGGTT